GAGAAGTGAGCACTAAGAGAATCTTCTATTTCAGACGAGAAACAAAACTGCTATAACCATCTCAGAAAAAGCATTCCCCACTGAATCTGAATCACACCTATACAATTATACATTGGACCAGATAATTTTGAGTATACTGCTGTATAAGAGAAATGAACAAAACGCAACGGCACCATTACATACAACACTATCAATTCAGTAGTACTGTCAATTTTTTGACAGTCATACTGAATTGATAGTGTTATATGTAAGCATGATGGGTTTCTTCATGTGTCATAGTTTTCGAGCTTAGATGGGAATTCATCTTTTGAGTGCTTGAAATACCATACCATGGGTTTCCGCATGTGTCATCCATCATGCTTACACACAACACTATTAATTCAGTAGTATTGTCAGTCTGGTGTCATACACCTGCAGAAACCCATCATGCCTAAGAGTATCCAAACCAAACAGAGTTCAATGCATCTCACATGGAAATTCTAGAGATTTGTATTGGAATAGAATGTGCACTCTTTCCCTGGAGAGATGCATCCTGCTTACCTAATTCCTGAAAGTATTAGGCGCAGGTTGGCAAGAGCCAAAGCTTGGTGACCCCAGAGTGTGCCTTGGGGTATTGCTGGAGTCTAACCAACTAAAAACGCATAAGAGCACTGCCTGGCAACCTTTCCCGCTGCTTGTCTTGGACCACTCTATCCATTAGAGCTTTGGTTTGCAGGGTTGCCTGCCCCCAGTGACGGCCCTGCCCTTCCAAGACCCATCAACTCTGAATATTTAGCACGGTGAATATACCCGGATGTGCATTTCCCACATCCTCTCTCCCACACCCCACTCCCCCCCACGTCAACATCCCTGAAGTCAAGCTCACGGTATTGGACTTCCAGCTCCCTGATTCAACATTCAACATTCAACTGTCAAATAGTACAATGCTAGATTTGGGATTTTTTTTAAATGCTGGTATGTCACAAACCAGCGGTCACACATGTGATTGCAAGCTGGACCTGGCTTCACTGACATCACCACTGAGAATGGCAGTAGGGAGACCATAATACACACATCTAGTTATATTTCATGCACTAAATATCAAATTCACCACAACGTTCCCGTTTATGGCTGCTTGCAGTTATACATGTTATGTAGGGCAGTAGCATATTCATCTCCTTTTTAATAATCTTTGCATTTGATAAGACACCAGCAAAACACTTTACAGGATTTACCTTCAAGTCCAGTAACTGTGTATTTCCGGCAACCAATATTTGTGCACAGCAATGTCCCACAAGCAACAATGAAGTGAATGACCACCCTTTTTGACAAAGATATGCTAAAAAAGGATTTTTTAAAATTCTCTTCCTGTAGGTTAGTTATAGTTACATGCTCTGCAATGTTTCTTATCAACAGCACATTCACGATTGCATTTGATATTGTATATGTGATAACTTGTCAGAAATTAGACGGTACAATCTTAAAGGGGGTGAAGGAATAGAGCAACCCGGGGGGTTCATATAAGTAAGTCTTTGAAGGTGGCAGGGCAGGTAGATACAGCCATTAAAAAAGCATGTGAGAGACTAGCCTTTATAAAAAGTTAAAAGAAACAGAGGGAAGGTCAGGAGAATTTTTTTCACACAATTTGTTCGGATCTGGAATGAATTGCAAGAAAGAGTGGTGGAAGCTGATTTAATAATAACTTTTAAGAGAGAAGATAATTATTTGGGGGAGGACAAGTTTGCAGAACTATGGGGAGAGAGCGGGTGAGTGGGATTGATTTGGATAGCTCTTTTAAAAGACCTGGTACAGACACGATGGGCTGAATGGTCTCCTTCTGTGCCATATAATTCTGATTCTATGAAACATGTCTAGTTTGTAATGTCAGATTTTCAGCCTCAAGCTGCATTTAGGGTACGAAATCCACACATCCTCCATTTACATTTTATCACTGTCTGTAAATGAGCTGATACTATACATTCTAGAACCACGTTTGTTAACCTGCTGGGCAGCAAGCTACACATAGCCCGATAACCAGAAATGCTGTGGCACAATAAGCCCAGTACCAGTCAAAATCTTGGTTCCTCATAGAAGCAATGTTTTCACTGCTCTTTTTGTGCCTTGTGTATAGGTAAAATACACCCTGCAGTTATATTTCTCTGCAGTTAAGTTTGAAATTACCACTTAAACTCATTGAAATGTGCAAAATAATTATTACTGCAAGTTTGTGATTGGGTATTTATGCCTCATTAAGTCTAACGAATGCTCATCGCTGAAGATTCTATCGACATTCGCTGAGGAATGACCATTAGAAGGTACAGAAGGTCCATGCAATCATATCTCTGAATCAGTCATCGCCTTTGAAATAAGAGAGCCGTTAAGAGAATAGTCAAAAGGTTCTGTGATGCTAGAAACTTAATTAAATGGTGTATTGATAAATCCAACTGCTGTTTGCGACTGAAAAATACAACAATTACATTGGGTCTTTCTAAACATCAGTGGAATTTATAAGCAAATGTCCATCTCTTCAAATCAACATTTCCCCCCAATTACTTTCTACGATATCATCATGTCCACCTGTATTCAAAGTTACCACTGTCCAGAAAGCTGGAAAGTTCAACTATTAAACAGTGCAAAGAAACATTAGAAACAGCAATTATTTTATTACATTGCTAGCCTACCCAAAGTAGTCATCCGTGTTAGCCATATTCATGTGAAATTCTAACACAATAGTCAGTCTAACAGGGTAACAACAATACTTCCATTCCCTCAATATACAGCTCACCTACAATGCCCAGAAATAGATCTCACAGGTAAAGAATGGAGTTTTCAAGATGTAGGTAGATTTGTTAGATCTGGGTATTAAGGGATATGGGGCAAGGCCGGGTAACTGGACTTGGGGTTCAGATCAGCCATGATCTTATAAAATGATGGAACAGACTCGAGGGGCTGAATAGCCTACTCGTGTTTCTATGTGTACGTATCTATGACTTCTTCATACCAGTTAATCGCATGTACCTAGATTCTCCAAAAGGAATTGGGGGATTGTTGGCCTGGACACTTGGGAGAAACTCGCTTCCCTTTTCGAAGAGTACCATGGAATCTTTAACATTAAAATACAACCTTGGAGCATGTCCCAATACAGTCAGGTATCTTGACCCGAGCTGGGGGTCGGGATCAGGGGGGTGGTGGGCAGGGAGGGTAGGAGGGTGGCCGAAGGCTCGGTCGAAGAGGAGGGTTTTGAGATGCACCTCGAAGGAGACAAAGGAGGGAGTGAGGCAAAGGGAATGTGGGATGCAGTTCCATAGGATGGTAACAGAAAGGCTGAAGTCCCGGCCGCCGATGGTGGAGAGGACTGGGCAGGGGGTGGGGATGACGTGAAGCAGGCCAGAGCCTGCTGATAGGAGGGAACAGACAGGTTGATATGGGGTCACCAGGTTGCAGAGGTAGGGAGGGGCAAGGCCGTGGAGAGCCTTGAAGGCGAGGATTTTGAACTCTATCTTCTGGGTGTTGGGGAGCCAGTGAAGCCAGGCGAGGATGGCCGGGCAAAAGTGATGGGTCACGGAGCCTGGTTCCAGAGAGGACACGAGCTGCAGAGTTCTGGATGATCTGCAGCTTGTAGAGGGAAGAGTTGGGAAGGCTGACAAGGAGGAAGTTGGCGCAGTCGAGCCTAGATGTGATGAATGCGTGGATGAGTGTTTCGGCGGCCTGAGGCAGTGGCGAGCCGGGCGATGTTGCGGAGGTGGGGGAAGGCAGAGTAGGACATGACACGAATGTGGGGTAGAAAAGACAGCTGAAGGTCAAACCAGACTCCAAGGTTCCGGACTGGCTCAGCGTGGTGAAGTGTGCATCCTTGGATAGCGATGCTATCAGTGCCTGAACAGGGAAATGAGACTTCAATTTAACGTCTCATCCAAAGGACATCATCTCTGACAATGCAACACCCCCCCAGCACTGCATTGTCATTGTCAGCTTAGACTGTGTGATTCCAAGTCCCTCCATAGGCTACAGATCATCTGGAACTCTGCAGTCCGTATCCTCTCCCACACCAGGCTCTGTGACCTATCACTCCTATCCTGGCCCAACTCCACTGGCTTCCCATCACAGAAGATACAGTTCAAGACCTTGGTCCTCACCTTCAAAGCCCTCCATGGCCTTTCTCCCCCCTACCTCGGTGACCTCCTACCCCCTACCATCCTGCCTGCTCCCTCCACTCAGCCTGCTTCACATCCCTGCCTCGTCCGCCCCAACATTGGCGGACGTGCCTTCTGCCACTCTGCCCCCATCCTTTGAAATTCCATCCTGCAGTCCCTCCACATCGCCCCCTCCCTTGCCTCCTTCAAGACGCATCTCAAGACCCTCCTCTTCAAACGTGCTTTTGATCACCCTGCTTCCGGCCCCTGACCTCCAACCCGCCCCAATCCTGACCGCAGCTCGGATCCGAAACACTGATTGTCCAGCGACTTGGGATGTCCTCCCGACGTGAAAGGCACTATACAAATGTAATTTTGTTGTTGTTGAACCCAATCTTCTGACTCCGAGGCAAGATTGCTACAACTGAGCCAAGCTAATACATCCCAAAACATGTGTGCAACGACTGTTCACTCCCTATGCATTAGCTTATAACTGTGGTTAAAAGAAAAATGGCCAACTTTCAAGTCATTGCCAACATCGCTTCCTTTTTGCTGAGTTTATGCAAAGTAGGAAGTGAAGTTGGCGGCAACCTGATGACCCAAAAGTCGGCCATTTTTTAGAGTATTGTGTGCTGGACATGTGGAACAAACTACAAGTACAGGAGGTAAAACCACTGCAAAATGTTATTAAAAAAAACAGACATTTCTGTGAACTAAAGGATTCCAAAGGATTAAATTTAAAAATCGATGCATCAAAGGAATCGTAGGTATCTGAAATGGTAGCCGAGCTGGCTACCAATTCACTCTTATCTGATACTATTATAACGTCATTGTGTTATAAATCATGTAATCATTTGATTTTGAGGCTGAGAAAGAAAAAGCACCCACGTCAAGCTTCTGTGTTACTATCGCTTCCTGGAGAGCGGCAATCACGGCGCTGAGATCTATTTGTATATCCCGGTTCTCTGCAAGAAGGTTATCAGCTACTTTCTTTGAGGTTTCCCATTTGAACTTCAGTTCCTGTCAAAAAGAGAGGACTGTAATACAACAACAACACAATTACATTTGTATAACGCCTTTCATGTCAGGAGTACGTCCCAAGGCGCTGGACAGTCAGTGTTTCGGACCCGAGCTGCGGGTCAGGATTGGGGAGGGTGAAGCGCAGGGGGTGAAAGGAAAGTGATCCAAGGCAAGATCAAAGAGGAGGGTCTTGAGATGGGTCTTGAAGGAGGCAAGAGAGAGGGTGAGACGGAGGGACTGCAGAATGGCGTTCCAGAGGGTGGGGCAGAGTGGCTGAAGGCTCGCCCGCCATTGGGCGAGAAGGAGGCCGGAGCCCGCTGAGCGGAGGGAGCAGGCAGATTAGTAGGGGGTTAGGAGGTCGCAGAGGTAGGGCGGACCAAGGCCATGGAGGGCTTTGAAGGTGAGGACCAGGATCTAGAACTGTATCCTCTGTGTGATGGGTACTCAGTAAAGTCGGACGAGGATAGGGTCACAAAGCCTGGTGCGGGAGAGGACACGGGCTGCAGAGTTCTGGATGATCTGTAGCCTATGGAAGATGGAGTTGGGGACTCCAACAAGCAGGGAGTCAAGCCTGGATGTTATGAATGTGTATATGAGAGTTTCAGCGGGCTGCAGTGCAAGACAGTGGCGGAGCTGGGCAATGTTGCGGAGGTGGGAGGGCAGAACAAGTCATGGCACGGATGTGGGGGAGAAAGCATAGTTGAGGGTCAAGCAAGACACCAAGATTCCGGACTGGTTTAGTAAAGTGGAGTGTGCATCCTTGGATGGTGATGCTGTCAACTCCTGAGGTGTGGAGGTACTGACAGGAACCAATCAGGAGAGCCTCGGTCTTGTTGACGTTCAACTGAAGAAACTTAGCTGTCATCCAGGACAGACAATCTGTCAGGACAGCAGCAGTCCTGGAGTCAAGAGTGAAGGCAGAGAGATAGATGTTGGGTGTCATCCGCAAACATGTGGAAGTTGACCCCATGTCTGCGGATGATGTCACCAAGAGGGAGCGTGTAGGTATTGAAAAGGAGGGGACCAAGGGCACAGCCCTGAGGAATCCGCATGAGATGGTGCGGGGGCTAGAGGGGAAACCATTTGTGGAGATGAAGTGGAGACGATGGGAGAGGTAGGATTTGAACCATTCAAGGACAGAACTATGAAGGTTGAGGTGAGAGGAGACGTGATGGAGGAGGATAGAGTGATCAACTGTATTAAAGGCAGCAGAGAGATCAAGGAGGACGAGGAGGCAAAGGGAGCCCTGGTCGCAGATAGACAGAATGTTATTTGTCACTTTGACCAAAGCTGTTTTTGTGCTATGGGCGGCACGGAAACCCAATTGGAGGGGTTTGTGAAGGGAGTGGTGGGAGAGGAAGGAGTGAAGCTGGGAAGCAACGACTCATTCCAGAACCTTGGAAAGGAAAGGGAGGTTGGAGGTGGGCGGTAGCTTGAGAGCAGGGATGCGTCCAGGGAGGGTTTTTTAAGGAAGGAGTGATGACGTCCATCTTTAAAGGGGTGGGAATGGTGCCAGTGGACAGGGCGAGCTTTATTAGTCAACATTATAATTTATTTTGATGTTTGACACTACAGATGTGTAGACAACTAGCAATTTCCTTGACACCATAAATTAACAAGAATGTATGAAGAAACTGTAATTAAAACATTTAATAGACATAATACTAGATTTACCTGGTTTCAGATCTAGTGATTTCCTATTCTGTAATTGTCACTGCATTTACATTTTGGCAATACAGTGTACAGTAATAATCATAGCATGTTAAAGTCATCAATTGTTGCATTTTTTTGTTCAGCCAGGTGTCTGACAAACGCCATGCTTAAAAGTATCTGAACCAAACAGAGTTCAATACATGCCACTACACACAGAAATTTTCATAAATTACAATGGAATGCACATTCCCTCCCCAGAGGGACGCATCTTGTTTGCATAATTCCAAGATTAGTAGGTACAGATTAGCAAAAGCAAAGGATTAAGGACACCAGAATGTATGTTGCGGTGCTTCTGGAGTTTAACTAGCTAAAATCTCATAGCTTGCTGCTGAAAGCACTGTACTCCAAGCATCCCGCTGTTTGTCCCACTAGGGCCACCCTACACTTTAGGACTTTGGCTTGGTTAACAGGAGCTGAGTGGGAAGAATCCACACACCTCTGTTCACCTAGGGAATAGGCAAAGAGGTAGGAGAGCGGATGAAGGCACGGTTGAAAAGGAGAGCCATAACTTGTGCCATGAATGAGGCAAGGGAAAGAGCAAGGCAAAGGGATTGTGGGATGAAATTCCAAAGATTGGGGCAGAGAGGCTAAAAACCTAGCCGTCTATGGTCGGGCGGGAGATATGGAGCCGGAGCCTGCTGAACGGAGGTCAGCGGACAGATTGATAGGGGTTAGCAGGTCAGAGAGGGCCAGGCCATGGAGGGCCTTGAAAGTGAGGACGAGGATTTTGAATTCTATCCTCTGAGGGATGGGGAGCCAATGGAACCGGGCAAGGGTGGGGGCTGAAGGGGTCACGGAGCCAGGTGCAGGAGAGGACACGAGCTGCAGAGTTCTGGATGATCTACAGCTTGTGGAGGAAAGAGTTGGGGAGGCTGACAAGGAAGGAGTTTCTGCAGTTGAGCCTTGAGGTGACAAATGCGAGTATGAGGGTTTCGGCAGCCTGAGGGGTGAAGCAGTGGCGGAGTTGGGCAATGTTGTGGTGGTGGGTTAAGTATAAATAAAGATTCTCCATTTTTTAAAATAAATGCTTAAGCAAATAAAAGTGGTCATTATATTGTATTGGCACATTGACATTCTAACTGATAGAAAAAAAGCTCCAAAGTATATTTCAAGGTTTGGGTTGTGCTCCTGGTTCCTCAAGACTTGATCCACAAATAATTTATAATCCAGCCAAAACATTACAAACAATGTTACATTAATTCACTCAATAAATTAAGTATTTGTCAAATATTTACATCTTTGCTTTCTCTAACTGCCTTGCCTAACACATGTAACTGAAAGTACAAGTGCATGTAGTTGTCTTGGGAAGTAAATGGACCTCCACAACATATCTCATACCTCAGGGAAGATGTCAGTCTTAACTCAGCACCTTCAGTGAGACTAGCTGCTTCGTTAAATACTCAGTCAAAAAAAATTACAATCTTCCCTTGATGTTCTATTTCATTTGGTTTTCTTTGAAAGTTCCTCTTTCCTCCCTCTATTAAACTGACAAATTATGAATTTTCAGCTACCACATACAGCTTTAAAGATGCATTCGGAACATTTGTGTTGTTCACTTAATAGCTTTAAAGTGAACTTAATAGCTTTAAAGTTGTCACTGGTAAAATGACAACAGCTTCTACACCCTTAAATAGCAAAAGTAACTCCGTGATCTTGGATCATCAGGCATTCAATAAGCTTTCTCACAATTGCACATAAAATTAACAAACTCTCTTCTTAGTCCAGTTGTACATTACAATTTTCTAGTGGAACAGAATGCAGGACACAGTTCTTTATATAAAAACAAAAAGTGTTATAAAAGTTTGATTTGAGGATGCCAAGTCATTTATTGACTTACATCCCAGAAGGGAGAAAAGATTTTGAATTATATTTTATTAAGAACAAAGATCTAACTTCTGAGCTATTCACCTCAAATAGGTGAAATAATGGGTTAGTGTTTCACTCCCAATTTAATTTTATGGTTTTAGAAGCTAAAGAAATAAAGGTACTCTCAATGATTTTAACCATTCTTAAGACAATAGCTTCCAATGCATGGCACTTACATTTAACATCTGGTCAGCTTTCTTCAGTTTGGAATTGAGATTAGCAACTTTTTCATTTGCCTCTCTTTCAAGATCTTCAACTGTTTGTACCAAGACGTCATTCTGATCACTGAGATCATTTACATAGGATTGAAAAATTCTTATCTTCATCTGAAAACAAAAGTCAAAATTTAGCAACAAAGCATTAGCCTACTTTATTCTGAATCTAAGAATAAACAAATTATCTTGTCATTAATTAATGTCCTGTCTGCTGTTCAGCTGGATGTTAAAGATCTCATGTCACTATTTGAAAAGAGAAGGGAGTTTCTCCCAGTTTCCTGACCAACATTCGCCCAAATAAAATTGATCATTCACTTCATAGCTGTTTGCAGGATATTGTTATGTGCAAATTGGCTGCCGTTGTCACTCCACTTTACAGTATATCCTGCAAAGCACTTTGCACTTCCTGACATGGAAGGCACAATACCAAATGGGATGACTATTATTACTGTATTTTTTGCATTCACCCAATAGGCCAGAACTACCTGAGCATTAGGTTATGCATATGTTGTATTTCAAAGGTCTAATTAGAAACTGAAGAAAAAAATTGCATTTGTGGTGTGTGTATAAGCACTTTTTCTGCTACAGTGTTCTAGCTTTGATGTTGCTTATATATTAAAATATGTCTTACTATCGCCAAAATAGAAAATCTTTCCCTAGCGTGCAAAGACTTATTAAATGGACACATTTGTTCAAATAGTTAAAAGTAGTCACCTATTTTTTAATTAAAAAAATTAAGATAAAGCACCTTGCTTCTAAATGCATCACACTGTTCCAATTAATTTGTGTGCACACTTGCCTACAAAATACATTCCACTTTACAATATATGCTGTGAAGAGTTTTTTGAATCATCCTCCTGACATGAAAGGCACTATACCAAATGCAAGGATTATAAAGGATTGTTATAATTTTATATTGTATTAAACAGCCAATTTTCAAATTCAATTTGCACAATTTAAACTATGAAATGGTCAATGTCAGTGAAGGTAGGCAACAGGATAGCTGATATAGAAAATCAACTTCTGTACCTGACTGGCAATGCTTTTTTTGGGTCAGCCAGGTGAGTTTGAAACTCATCCCCATGCTTAAGAGTATGAAAACCACACTACAAGTTCCATGTATGTATATCACCTACACAGAAATTTCCCTGCATCTAAAATGAAATGTAAACTCGATCGCTTGAGGGAAGCATGCTGCTTCTATAACATATCTGTAATAATAACCCCTCCAAAAAAAAACAATAGCAAAATTGGTAATTTTCAATCCACGACTGTTTGTGGGACACTTTTGTGCTCAATTGGCTGCCTTATTTCACCCACAAATATATGGTTAATTCCCTTTACAGTATATTCTCTGAAGCGCTTTGAGACGTCTAGAAGACGTGAAAGGATTATTATTATTATTATTATATCTGTTCAGACTTGCAAGACAGTGTTTTAACTATTAAAAATAAGAGCCCGTGTTCACAAATACAGATTCCAAGCAGCTTTCCAGCAGCTGTCATCCCAACCCTAAATTTCCTCCACGATTGTTCGACTGAAATTTGCCTTCAGCGTAGACCTATACAAGACACCTTTAGATGTTCCAAACACCTTGAGATGCTCTAGAGGTCCAGGTCCCAATGCCATGTATAAGGCTTTCTCAACACCAGCTGCTTAATTCAGATCACACTGAGAGTGCCTTCATCAAACAGACATGCCCATCGTAAAAATAATTCCACCTCCAGGGTGCTTGAGAACAGATGACAGAGCCCTCCTCCTCCCTCCCTGCACCCACTTCACTTCATCACTTGCTTCTGGACTCCCCAAAAGTGCCAAGAAAACCAACTCCCTCCTCTGAATGCCCAAGAGCTCAGAACCATTGAGGAGAACTCTTTGAATACTGACTGCTTCATCTGTGAAATGGGACAATGTTCTATTGTCAGCAGTAAAACAGTCAGTTGAGGATAATAATAATCCTTGCATTTGATTTAGCGCCTTATCACGTCTTCAAGACGTCTCAAAGTGCTTCAGAGAATATACTGCAAAATGAATTGACTGTATATTTTGTAGGCAAAACACAGCAGCCAATTGCGCACAGCAGTATCCCATATACAGTTATGGATTGAGTAACCAAATTATTATTTTTTTTGAAGTATAAACAAAAAATTAAAAACTGTGCATTCCCTAAATATTCTTGCTCTAACAAACATTCTTCATGATAATAAGTACCAACAAGGTGTTCAACTGTGATGGCATGGCAGCAGACTTTAGATCTACCGTCAATAGATGTCACTGAATACCAATCAGAAACCTTGGCTGATTTATTCCTTCACCAGTACAGAGATATTCAGAGATATTTAGGTTAGTTGCTAAACCCCCACCGCTATCCTGACCAAACCCACCTAACTCAAGATAGATTAGGATCAACCCTTGGCCCTTTTTGATCTTCATCGGTAAGGTTGGCCAGTGTCTTTCTCAACTGATAAGGGGAGAACCATTGAAAAAAGATAGTTTTCACATGAGGGAAGCACTTGGTCAAAATCGGTTTGTGTCTTCAAATTCGTGAGTTCGCTTTCTCGACTAAAAAAAGAAACTAGGCAGAAGACACTGGACTGTAACATGTATTTTCTTTTATTTTAATTTGTATTCCAAGCAATGCTTGGTATATAATGCTTTTTATGTCGGGGCTTTGAAGCTGGTGAGGAAGTGAGACAGAGGGATTCTGAGATGGCGTTCCAGAGAGCAAGGGCAGAAACCTTACCCACCGATGGTGGGTGGGATGGCAGGGGGTGTGAAGCAGGCTGGTGTTCGCTGAGTGAAGAGTGCAGCCAGGATTAGCAGGGATGGAGGAAGTGGGCAAGATTCAGGCAGGAATGCTATTGTTGATATTATAACAACAACTTCTAAAACAATAACAATGATGGTTTGATTCACATCTCCTGTCCCCTAACTGAATACGTTTCCCTAAGTTGTAGTTTTGAGTCCTACCAATGAACTGATATCGTCTTTAAAATCATAAAAATCCTTATGGTAATCCTTGCATTTGATGTAGTGCCTTTCAGGTCAGAACAATGCCTCAAAATGCTTCTCTGTAAAGGTGTAGTGACTTGTATGTGGTGCAGATCCCTGACTGTCCAGAGTGTTGGGAAGTCATACTAACGTGAAAGGCACTATACAAATGTAATTTGTTGTATTTTTGTAGGCAAATCACTGCAGCTGATTTGCGGACAGCAATATCCCACACAGCCGTGACAAAAGTGAGCGCCAAATTTTATTTTAGAGAAATTGTTGGGCCAGGATATGGGGAGAAGAAACTCCTTTCTCTGTGTGGTCATGACTGCTCTAAAGTGTTTCTCACCACCCACCCCCATTGCCACTTGCACTTCGCCATTTAGGAAAGTACAAGACAACTTGCACTGATATAGCGCCCTCCTACCAGGGTAACATCTCTGAGCGTTTATCAGTGGTGGAGCATGACTCTGAGCCGGGGCAGGGGTGGTGGCCATAAGCACGGTCGAAAAGGAAGGTTTTCAGGCGGGACTTTAAAAGGAGAGAGGGGGCAAGACAAAGGGATTGGGGGAAGAGTGTTCCAGAGTTTCGGGGCATAATGGCTGAAAGCACAACCTCGAATTATTGAGCGGAGGATGCGAGGGACAAGCAGGAGGCCGGTGCCAGTTGAGAGGAGGTGCCGGGTGTTGGATTGCGGAGTGAGGAGGTCGGAAAGGTAGGGAATGTCCTCCCGACCTGAAAGGCGCTATACAAATGTAATCTTGTTGTTGTTGTTGGAGATGCCAGAGAGTGAATTTGAACACGAGTGTGAACATCTTGAAGTCGATCCGTTCGGTGATGGGGAACCAGTGGAGCCTGACCAGAACTGATGAGATGTGGACAGAGTTTGGCCCCGGGCCAGTACGCAGGCGTCAGGGAGTTCTGAATGAGCTGGATCTTTTGAATAGTGGAGCTGGGGAGACGGGAGAGGAGTGGGTTTGAGTAATCCAGGCGGGAGGTGACAAATGCACGCACGAGGGCTTCGGCTGCATTCGGGCAATGTGGCAGGGTGGAGGAAGGCGGTCCTGGTCAGGGGTGGAAGGGAAGCTGGGAGTTGAACCAGATGCCGAGATTGCGCACCAGTTCAGTGGGTCTTGGGATGGGGTGGGTGGGTGGGGGGGGGGAGAGCCAGCCCAGGGAGGTTGAGGAGCTCTGATCCGCGGGAGTGAAGATGTTGACCGTGCAAGGAATGCCTTTTCCGATCGCTTTATCCGCTTTGGTTCAAAAACAAAAGTGGCACAAAACATTTTTCCAAATATTGTTCGATTGCGTGGTTCAGAAACTCAATGCTCTTGATGCCTTCTCCAGGAAACTTACTTACCCTCAACCCTTGATTATTCTCATCTCTAAACTCGGTGTGCCTCAGCTTCTCCTCATACAAGTCCTTGAACTCTCTGAGCAGGCGCTTCATGTTGTGCCTGACTGATGGCGAGGTGGGCGAAGGGCATCGCTTGTCTCCCGCTCCCAGCAGCTCCGCCTCCCGCCTCAAGCCACCGAAGGCCGGGATTCCGGACCTTGGCGGACAAGTGGACCTCGGGTCCACCTCCCCGCGGTCCATATTTTTTTTCACACACGCACACGCACACACACACACAAGGGCTTTTTAAAGATGAAAGTCGGTTTAGTGACTAGTGAACAAAGTGTCCGCCCATCATGTGCGAGGCGGTGGCGGTGGCGGCGACACCCTCCTTCCCTCCCTCCCTCCTTCCCTCCTGTGACCCGCTCTCGCTCGCGCTGGGAGTTTAACGGAACTTTCAAACCCAACAGAAGACCTGCGCTCGCTCCCCGTCCCGCCCCCTCCCGCCGAGTCCGCAACGCCATTGGCGCACGGCGCGGCGCGTGGGGCCGGTCCATCTCACCGGTCCGCTCGCTGACTGGCTGATCGGTGCGTCAGTGAACGAATGCGTCATCATAGCCCCGCCCCTTCCCTCCCTCTCTCCCACACGAACGATAAACAAAACAAAAAGGAAACGACTGCGCGGGGCGGGGGGAGGGGGAGGGAGACCGCTCTCCGTGCGGGTGATCAACAGGTGACGGGGGTCCCGGCAATCGGTGGCCGAATGCAGGAGGAACGCGGGCTGCTTGGTCCCTCTGGAACGTACAGGCCGGGCCGCTGACACTGTGCGGTTACGTGAAGCGGAAGAGGACGCTTGGCCGTCGTCAAGTGACGCTGCCCCAACCGTTGGGGCAGTTGAAGAGCGTGTCCTCGGCGCAGGCCCCGGGCTGTCGTGGAGGGAGCCGCAGCCTCCCGGAGCCGGTACCTTCCTCCCGTCCCGTCCTGTCTTGTCCTGTCCTGTCCTCGGCGAATCTCCGGCAAGTTACCCGGTGCCCACTTGTGGCGTTTCGCCCACAAAATATAGAGTCTGTTCACTTTACAGTCTGTTCTCTGAAGCGCATTTATTGTTACTATATTATTATTATGATGATGATGATTATTTACCCTCCTGTGGCTCCTGCTTCAGATTAAAACCGAAGGCCCCAGCACTTTGACCACGCTTTCTGCCGCCTTCCTTCTCCCCCCCCCCACCCCCCAATACACACACCACCAACACAAAAAGCTGTGTTCTTCTCCACCTGAACGATACTACATACAGTACATGTAGATTGTCAGTGTTGGTTCTGGCATCTGCCTGATTTCTTCTAACCCAAGATTCTTCTCCCTCAGACCCGAGACAAGTGCAGAGTAAATGTCCCGTACCATGTTTTTGAAAATGTTTTCTAATAATCATCCTTACATTTGAAGTAACAGCAACAACTTGCATTGATATAGTGCCCTTCACCTGGGGAGCGCTTAACAGTGCCGGAGCCTGACACTGATCCGGGGGGGGGGGAGTGAACTGGTGACCATAAGCACAGTCGGTATTTGAAAGGTATTACGCCTTTCAAGGCTATAATAATAATAATAATCCTTGCATTTGATATAGCGCTTTTCACGTCGGGAGGACGTCCCAAAGCGCTTCACAGAACACACTGTAAAGTGAATTGACTGTATATTTGTGGGCGAATGCGGCAGCCAATTGCGCACAGCAATGTCCCACAAACAGTTGTAGATTGAAAATGACCAATTTATTATTGGTTTTGGTTTTGGAGGGATTATTATTAGGCTCTGTGTGGAGTAAGGAAACTTGCCCAAGGTTTCGCCCTGACCTGCCTGGAATTGAACTCAGGGCTCTCGCTTGCAAAGCAAGTGCTCTAACCACTGAGCTACAGGACTCCACGAGTCCATAACGTGTAGTGACTGTATTGGGGGGTGCCAGCCAATTTGCACACAGCAATGTCCTACAAATAACTAAAAAGTGATCAATTTTAGTTGGGGGATTTCCATGACTTTGGTTTAATGTCTCGTCTGAAATACCTTAGCTGGGATATAAGTTAGATATAGGATAAACTGAACAAACATTTTTTGGTCCAATTCTAACAAGTCAGTTATTCTAAGTTTATACTTTCCTTTTTCTGATACAAAGATTCTCTCTTCCAGCTATTTCCTAAATTGCTCATTTCATAATCTTATTTTTGCACCTTCTATGGATCACATTTGACAGAAATTTAAGTACTGTTTCAATTTATGAATACAGAAAGGTAAGTATTCACTGCAAATTATTTGGGACTGGTTAAAGCATAGGAAAATGTAATAGACAAATAGCACTTTATTCGGTTTCTGATGTATATACACTCTTTCCCCCCCCACCATATTGATGAACATCAAAATCTTTATATCTTCTGGAACCATACCTCCTGAAAACAGCTCATCACCACCTAACTTCTTACCTATTTTTTTTGGTGTCTGATGCATGCAGAAAATGATCACCATGTGAGGAATAAAACCAAACAGAGTTCCATATATTCCACTAAAACATGGAAATTTCAGATATATTTGTTGGAATGGAATGTGCACTCTCCCCCTGGAGAGTCACATCCTGCTTATCGAATTTTTGAAAGTATTAGGTGCAGGTTGGCAAGAGCCAAAGCTTGGGGACCCCAGTGTGCTTTGGGGTACTACTGGAGCCTAACAAACTAAAACCACATAGCTTGCCACTGCCTGGCAAGCTTTCCTGCTGCTTGTCCAGCTCGAACAATCCGAAAGAAGCCTTAGAGAAAAACATACTTGGAAGAATGCTTTGATATCCCAAATTTTCTCTTCCACAAGCTGCAGATCATCTAGAACTCTGCAGCTTGTATCCTTTCCCGCACCAGGCTCCGTATCCCCAACACCCTCACCTGGTTCCACTGGCTCCCATTCCCCAGACAATAGAGTTCAAAATCCTCATCCTCACCTTCATAGCCTTCCATAGCCTTGCCCATCCCTACCTCTGGCCTATTGACCCCATATCAACCTGTCCACTCCCTCTGCTCAGCAGGCTCTGGCCTGCTCCACCATTGGTGGCATGGCCTTCAGCCTTTCTGCACACAATCCCTTGGACTCGTTCCCTCCCTTGCCTCGTGTACTGTCCCCTCCACTGGCTTCCCATCCCCCAGAGGATCGAATTCAAGATCCTCATCCTCACCTACAAGGCCATTCACGGCCTCGCTCCCTCCTACCTCTCCGACCTACTATCCCCCTACTTACCTGCCCATACCATTCCTCTGGCTCCGGTCTGCTCCACATCCCCCGCCCCAACTGCCCTACCATCGGTGGCCGGGCCTTCAGCCTCTCAGCCCCTACAACTTTCTTCAGCTCAACGTGCGAAAAACCGAGGCCCTCCTGATTGGCTCGCGCCAGCGCCTCCGCACCTCAGGCGCTGACAGCATCAGCATCCAAGGCTGCACTCTCCACCTCTCAAAGTCAGTCAGGAACCTCAGCGTTTTGTTCGACCCTGAGCTGTCCTTACTCCCTCACATCCGCACCACAACTGGCACCGCCTTCCATCACCTCCGGAACATCGCCAGACTACAGCACTACCTCACCCCTCACGCTGCTGAAACCCTGGTCCACGCCTTTGTCACCTCAAGGCTGGACTATGGGAACTCTCTCCTCGCCGGCCTTCCCGGCACCTCCCTCCACAAGCTGCAGGTCATTCAGAACTCTGCAGCTCGTGTACTGTCCCGCACCAGGCTTCGGGACCACATCACTCCCACCCTCGCTCGCCTCCACTGGCTCCCCATCCCCCAGAGGATTGATTTCAAGATCCTCATCCTCACCTATAAGGCCATTCACGGCCTCGCTCCCTCCTACCTCTCCGACCTACTATCCCCCTACCTACCCGCCCGTACCCTCCGTTCCTCCGGCTCCGGTCTGCTCCACGTCCCCCGCCCCAATCGCCCTACCATCGGTGGTCGGGCCTTCAGCCTCTCAGCCCCTAGGCTCTGGAACTCCATCCCCCAGTGCCTTCGCTTTGCTTCCTCCCTTTCCTCCTTCAAGGCTGGTTTCAAGACCTTTCTCTTCGACCGTGCCTTCAGCTCCCCTCTCGACTCTACTCCCTCCTGGCTCCCTCCCTTCCCTCCCCTCACCCTGACCATTTCCCCCCTGCTCGGGTCCCGACCCAACTGTCCAGCGCCTTGGGACATCCTCCCGACGTGAAAGGCACTCTATAAATGAAATCTTATTGTGGTTGTTGCCTCGTCTCAAAACCTTCATCTTCGACCAAGCCTTCGGCTGTCCTCCCCGATTCCAACCCCTAGCTCAGGTCCAAATCCCTGAATGTCCAGCGCCTTGGGACATCTCCCGACGTGAAAGGCGTTATGCAAATGTAATTCTGTATTGTATATCATGTTGCCCCGTGTGAACGTTGCTTTTTAATAAAACAAAAGTTGTTTGATATGTAAAGGCAGCGACTTGTTCAGGACTAAGGGCAATTTAAAGACTACAATATTCTAATCAACAGGTGGTAAAAGTTACCAGGAAGATTGATTATAGTAAGACACTGGATAATAAGAGACTGAAAATCTGATAAAGTTAGCTGGGTCAGTATTCTGGATTGAGAATTCAAATGTGTCTTCATCCTGATTTACCTTTTTATAATAATCATAATAAATAATAATACTTTATGTGAGGATAGTGCACAGTTCCATACATTAATGCACAGTTGAAATAATAGAATCGTAGAAATTTACAGTGCAGAAGGAGGCCATGTGACCGATCAAGTCTGCACCAGCTCTCAGAGCAAAATTCAATCAAACTGCCTTGCCCATATACCTTCAGTTTTTTTTCTTTACTATGCCTCTTCTTTGATCCCTTTGAAATTCTATAGGTGTGAGGAGAGCAAAGACTGATTATAATTTTTCACAAGTTGAGGTACACTGTGCTGAAATACATTGTCGATTTGATTTTGGTGTCCAGCGAGGTACTTCAACTAGTATCTCCCAACTGGATAAGACAGTGGGAGCATTATCAATTCTTGGTCTCTAGGGCAGATTGCAAATGATCTAATGTCTATGCATGGGAAAAATAAAATACAACAACTGCTTTTTATGTTAGACCAACATTTTGAAAATTGATGTTGAGTCCCTGTTGAGCATCTCTGTGCAAACTTCATGTGGTAAATATGCACACACGTTGTATCTTTTAATGCACATCATTTGTCCATGTGACTGTTTTGTGTCAGTGCCAAATGTTGTCATTGTTCAGGTATTTGAACGAGAGGAATCCAATTATGTACATTAATGTAGATCCCAGACTCAGTCCTCTACTGATATTTGTCTTTAATTTGTTTGTCCCTTGTAAGAAACATTTCCAAATATGATCTTTTGTTTTTGTGACAAAGTAAACTTTGTTTCATATTTAGTTCTTTTATGCCATAACTGGTTACTGCCAGTAACTTTAAACTCTGATGTTTAAATGATTCCATACACTCAATGTGGACATCCTCCTGATGTGAAAGGCGCCACTATAAGTGCAATTTGTTGTTGGTGGCATTGTTGTTGTTCAGTCTTTTGGCTTAAAGCATTTTGTTCCTTGATTCAGAACTTTGTGCAGATGTTCCCATAATAATTTCAGTTTTACATTGTATATTTTTTATATCTATGCAGCACCTTTCATGTTGGAAGGATGTCTCAAAGCACTTCACAGAATTGTTTGGAAGCCCAAGCAGGGAATGCAGGGGGTGGATGGTGGGGAAAAGAGGTTAAGCCATAACACAGTCTAGATTGCTGCCACATAATGGAATACTTATAATTACTGTCAAGTATAGCGATGTTTACAATTTTACAGATGGAAAATGTGAACCCATGAATATGACTGGTACGGGAAACACCAGAAGGTACACTCAGTTTCTCATTTCAGTCTCTTTCCCCCCCAACCCGCCCGCCCAATATTCTAATGCTGTTTATTTAATATGGAGAGAGAAATACGTGGACTGATAAGCAGTTGAGGTAGATTGTTTAAGCAAACTTGAGAGAGAATCAGATAGATGTTTAAAAATTTGAGTACTATGAGTCATGCATGATGGATTGCAATGGTGTGTTCAGTCGAGCACTCACCTTGCAAGCGAGAGGACCTGGGCAGATGGAGACTGGCTCATTGGCTCTGCTGATGTATCAGTGCAATATTGAGAGAGCCTTTGCTGCATTGTCAAGGTGCTGTACTTCAGATGAGATGTAAAATCAAGGTCCTGTCTTCATGTTCAAGAAGGCATTAAAGATGCCAGAAACTATCTGAGAAAGGAATTTCTTTCAGGATCCTAATCAACATTCCTACTGTTTGTAGGATTTGGCCATCTGCAAAACAGCAACCAGTTTACCTTCATCGTCGCTATACTTGATAGTAATTATAAGTAAAACGCTTTGAACATTCCATTATGAGGCGGCAATCTCAAAATACAAGATTTTTAGTTCCTTAGTTCTTTCATGTGTTCACCAAGTTCACAGTTCTGGTCGATTGCTAACTATCTTAAAAATGGTGTCCACTCAAGTACTCTGTGTGTGTGTTGTATGAACAAGCCAACACTTATTACCTCTGAAAAATTGCTTATACTTTCAACCCTTCCTTTCAATTCTCCCTGCTTTGTCTCCTCCACCTCTGACGTATTCAAATACCCTGTAAGTTTTATGATTCCCCTCTGCCTTTCTTACTTATCTGAAGAGCTCCTTAACTGTTTTAACCTCAGACTGACAGTTCCCAATTGTTCCTTTTCCTTAGCACAAATTTCTAATGAAATTGCTTTTGCAGTTTTTTCTGCTGTTGCATGTTTCCTTTCAATTGTCATGTTACCCCTTGCCAATAAGGCCACTCATCAGCCTGGCTCAAAGGGATTGCCTTTTCAAAACATTTTCTACCCAATTAACTGCATCTCTTATTCATCTACTTGTATCCATGTTCCTGGCTGCCAATAATAACATGTTTGCAAGCTGTGCTGACTATTTACTCCTGTAACGCATTAGACTGCTCCTGTCAAATCTACTTTAAATGAATTCCAATTATTATTTCTCTGTTTTGTGCTAAAACCCTAGGTACCAATTAGATTCAATGTAGACCATCCTTACAAAATATTGTTTTTCTTTTGTACACACTTATTAGTCAGTTGTGAATGTGCTTATTCCTTTCATTCTGTCTGATTTTGGAAGTAACAAGTATCCCCTTAATATTTTTACCTTTTTAAATGTACTTTTGCATTCAATCTTCATGACCCTGATATGAAAATGTGAGTTTACAGCAGGTTTAAAAATCACCCAGTATCCTGTCCTGGCAGCCTAATTAAAAACTGTAAACATACAAACCAAATATTAGCCACAGAACTTTCATGATCGAGAGGATCTGCTCTGCTGTCTCCCTTTCTGCCACCTCCTACCTCCTTCACAGCCCATACCATATCTGTCCCATTATCACCAGGCAAGCTTTCAGCTATTCTGTGCCTGGAACTCCATCCTGGAATCTGCCCTCCCTATGTTCAAAGTCCACATCGAGACATACCTCGGACTGCTCTTTCAGTCATCTTTCCCATCCCCAACCTCAACTCTTACTCCCAACCTGAATGCACAGTCAGCTTCGAGATGTTCTCCCAACTTCAAAGGCATTATGTAAATTTAATTGTATGTTATGTTATCACTTACAGGTCATTTTTATAACTTAAAAAAATCATTCAATGACAATACAATGGGGCACTGTTTTTTAATGAATGATAATGTGTTATGGAATTCGAGAGGCAGTTTTTTGATCCCTCATGATCCCAGCATCACGTTTGATGCTGTTTAAACATGCAGCTGTGAGATATGTCAAGCATAGGAGGGAAAAAGGAAAGAGTTATCCTAATCTCCAGGTCAATACCAAATCAGTCTTAAGTAATTAAGTTGGAGTTTGGAAATACCATGGCCATTTGGGCAGGGTGGCATATGATATGACCAGGAAAATAGGAGGGGGAGAAGTTTGCTGCAAATAGGCAGGACCACACAATCATTTTTCAAACTGGCATACTTTCCAGATGTCAGGTCTGGCAGAAAAACAGCACTCCCTTTATTCTACCTCCTACACTTTTTTAACCATCAGGTAGCCAATTTTCAAATAAAGCTTCCAGGTGAGTTTTAAATATAATAAACTGATACTGTTTTATTAATTCTCCTACAAACTGCAGCGAATGTTGCTCAGTGCTTTTCAGAAACTGTTCTATCCCTTTATTATGCATAACCTCAAATAATACTTTTTTTCATATAGCAATTGTCATTATTCATACTGTTTGTGGACTATCATAGAACAGAAAATTACAAAATGAAACTAGGTTTATCCATAGGCTTAAAGCTTTGTAAATTTAGATGCCAAATATTTAGAGGGAAAAGTTATTGACAGAAGACTCTAATGGTAATATATTTCCTGGTTCGTCTGGGGAACTTGTCAATAGAAATGTAGCTATTGATAGAAGCCTGTGGGAGATGTCGTTCTGCCTGCCTTACATCTGTGTGATCCTCTAAATCATAACTACATTAATATTGACAAGACCCTGACAATAGCCACATTACTATTGATAGGTTTCTGTCAATAATATGTTCCCAAATAAAATGTATTAATTCATAATTTGTAAACTACTCAATAACTGCATTGATGAAAAAGTACCAAGGGAAGTTCTATTCCACAGTGATATACCATTATAATTTGTCTTAGTTCTTAAAATATATTTAAAAGACATGCATTACTTGCAGCAATTGTAGTAAATACAGCAAACTGGAGTATAAAGGATTGTGAGAACTGCACAATGTTCTATACCGAACTTTTGACTAAATTATTGGGCAGACTCATCCTAGTTCTGTTTTCAGTTTTGCACCTGAATGCTAAAATAAGGTAAATATTTTTCTGTTCATGACAAATAAAAATCTTAAACATTAGGTTTAATAACTTACTAGTATTTACCGTCTCTAGTGAGTTTTGAAGACCCACACCACATGGACATGTACTGTAATGTCACAGTGAACACAAAATTAGAACACATTTTGGACATCAAATTCTTAATTGCTGCTCACAATTATAATCAAATTCACAGACAATGTTCAACAATGTCTTTTCCTATTCTCTTGGTTTGAAAAGTGGATTTGTACAATTTATTTCTGAGGAGGATTAAAACTACCGAAGGTTACTGTTGCGTATCACGTCATAGCAACACAGGATTTTTACAGTGCAGGGATTCCTCACCAGGCCTAACTGACTCCCAGTGGATTAATTTCAAAGTCCTCAGCCTTGCCCATCAATCACTTCAAACCATAGCACCTCCCCGTCTCTCTGATCTCCTCCTACCCAACTGACTGGGTTTGGCTGTGATGCCCAGCCTCACTTTTACTGATGCTTTCCCACCCGACACCATTTAATAACTGGTGAAATAACAAATGTTTGGGTGAGTCGTGCTTGTGGAACCATAACCCACTGCATTCAGATGAGAAGGGGAAATAGTATTTTCAAGGCGGTAGTAATGTACAGCTATATATATGTACACACACACACATATGCATTAAATAATCTTCCTATTAGGATTTGTAGTCTCCAGCCAACATAAATGGATGAAATAATAGCATGGATTGTTTCTATGTTTTTCATTTTCTTAGATGCCATTGGTGCCAACATGGATTCAAAAGAAGGTGGCTCAAACCCCCTCCCCCCAGTACTGAGAATAAGTCAGCTGGATGCTTTTGAGCTGGATAGAGCATTGGAACAGCTAATGTGGTCCCAGTTTTCCAGGTGCTTTCAGTGTTTCAAACCTGGTTTGTTAACTCGCTTTGAACCAGAGCTGAAAGCCTCTCTGCAGCTTTTGTTATGGAGATTTACAGTCTTTTCCCGAAATGCAACAGTTGGCCAGGAACTTCTAAATATCAGATACAAAAATGACTTATCTCGAGGACAAAAATACAGGCCGATGAGTAAACATCAGAAGTTATGGTATGCGTTGTGCACTGTCGGGGGAAAATGGCTGGAAGAGAGACTTCATGACTTATTCAGCAATCGTTCTCCAGAGTCAGCTATTCACAAGATGAAATATTTCATTACTTTCATAGTTGGATTTTTGAAAGTGGCCGGACTGCTGAATTTTCTCATCTTTCTTCAGAAGGGTAGGTTTGCCACATTTCCAGAACGACTCCTGGGGATTAGAGCAGTTTTCTCCAGACCTCAGGGTGCACGTCAAGTTGGTTTTGAATACATGAATCGAGAACTGTTGTGGCACGGTTTTGCTGAGTTCCTGATATTTCTTGTGCCACTTATAAACACGAGAAAATTGAAAACTACAATCTCTTCCTGGTTTCTTCCAATAGATGATCACCGAGAAAATGATGGCACTCTTGCGATACACTGCAAAGAATGTGCCCTTTGTGGGGAATGGCCAACTATGCCTCACAGTATTGGCTGTAGACATGTGTTTTGTTATTACTGTATTAAAAGCAACTACCTGTCTGATGCTTACTTCTCCTGCCCAAAATGCAGCAGTGAAGTCCGCAATATTTTACCTTTGAAACATGAAGCTCAGACCAATTAATCTAAGATATTCAAACACTGTAGGTACAAGCTTCACAACTGAAAATTGAAGATTTTCTAAACCAGCTTCTTAAAATCGTGGAGAATTGCCTTTTCCCTGCTTTGGTGTTAAGACTAAATTGCTTAATAAATGCTTCTTTATTACTGATTACAATATGTCCTTTTGTGTTCTAGACAACTAATCTACACAATGCCTAACTAGATGAATGAAATTTAGCATAATGTTATTGCCAAATGACTTGCATTAATGGTCTGTTCCAAACTGAAGTAAAGTCATTTGTTTCAATTAACTTCAGGTCCCCTGTCTCAAAATGACTGAATTTCATCAGCAGCATATTGTAAATTCCAACCAATTTCCCCAAAATGCACTCTAACCCCTTTATTCCACCTACACATAATCTATAAATTTCCACAAAACAGGTGCATTGTCAGAGATGCAGTCATTTGAGACATTAAACTGAAGTCCTGTCTGCCTTTACAAGTGGCTATTAAAGACCCCACAGCATTATTTGAAAAGATGAGCTTCCACTGTCCTGGCCAACAAGTGCCCTCAATAAAAATGAGTTGTTCATCTCACGACTGTTTGTAGGACCATGCTGTATGCAATTGTGTGCCATGTTTAGTACAAAGATAGGCACTACATTTTACAGGAAACTCGGTGAAAAGTTTTAAGATGTTTAAATATAAGGTACTATATCAAATTAGGTTTTTATACGTTTAAGTTCTATACCATGTCACCATAAATTAAAGATGATCGAATCAATTCACTATTTTTATTCTATTATTAAACTGACTGCCCACAGCCTTGTGGTGTCTGCCCGACGTGATAGGCGCTATACAAATGTAGTGTTGTTGTTGTGAAATGAGGCTGCCATTTCATTTCATTTCATGGAAGTTCAAAGTCTTAAGAAACAGGATTGAGGGCTCACGAATGATTGAGTGACTAGGTTAGGCATTCAGATACAGAAGGTGCCTGACTCGAACTCTGGGCTATGCTGAATTAGCTGTCTCAGCCAGGTGGCATTTATGGCACAAGAATTAACTTCAATGCCCTGGGTTAGGAAGGGAAAAATCAGTCAATGCCATTTGGAATGGTAATCCAGTGACCCCGCTGGAGGTACAGTGGATGGTTCTCAAGACAGGACTTAGTGTTTATACCTGAAAACACTCGCAACAATTGAAAACAATGGTTACTTGGGCGAGGTATCGGAGGTGCCCAGAATCCTCTGCAATCTAAGAAGAAAGGAGTTGAATGTCATCAGAGTTGGAAGGAGGGAGAAACATCGCTGAGGGGATAAAATAACTAGACCACAATTGTTGGGTTGGAGATTAGATTTGAAACAGACTAATTTGTGAATGTTAATGAAGTTTTGGAGTAAATATTTTTGTGTAAATATTTTTGTGTAAACATTTTAATTAATCATTACTTAGGACCGTGCTAAAAAAAAGTTTTTTTTAGAAAAACAATTGTTTTTAGTATTGCAATGCTATTTTAATAGTGTCTCTATTAGCCACAGCTGCTGTATCCATTTGAATTAATAAAATGGTGATTCATACAAATGTCCACTAGATTAAGTTTAGTGTATTAAATCGTTATTTAAAGAGGTAAAATATGTAAATAAGCCCTCTGAATTAATCGCTGCAAGGGAAACAAAATAGCTTTTTAGACCATTTGCACATCCTTTCACTAATAGTTCACAAAGGCCTTTCATTCATTATGTCACCCCAGAATTCGGAACACTATTGTGGCTGCTCTTGCTTTGAGTTATATTTTTCCATAAAGTGTATCTCATAAAAATTCATTATATAAGAGCATAAACAAGAGCTTTTCGTTCCAGTCACTGGCAGTAAGTGATTCATCAGTTTTCCTCAGAAAACCAATTTCATTGCAGATTCAGTAATTTCCAATCTTACTGAATTGGATGAGGGTGGGGGAGGGGAAACTATCAAACAGTCCCAATACGAGGAATGTGAGAACAAAAAAGACTTGCACTCAGTCTTTTAATGCAATGGAATACCATCTGCTGTCTCATCAGTTTTACAAAATAATCAAAAGGTAATCAGCCTGTCATTTCCTTATTCGTGCACTGCAAGAGTCATCAATTTACCTTTCTCTGCTGATCCTGCTACATGTATATGGTGTCCAGCAGATAAACCTCATATGTGTCTACCTCTTTAATAATTCATTACTTTGTTCCATTCATTATGCATCGCTTTTTACAATGAAAATTAGTTTTTTTTCCAAATCGATCTTCGCACAAAGTGTACATTAGATTTACACTTCTAATCATCCATGCCTTCCTTCCCCACCACCCCCCATTAAAAACTATATTTTGTAAACCTGAATGTGTCTGTGAAGAGACTATAATATAATCCTGAAACCATGCTTTTGGATGTTTACACAGTGGAAATTTAAAAAAATCTATCGCTTCAAATCCCACTGCCTGATATTTTGTTTCCTACGTATACTGCAAATCAGTTATGACTGCTATGATTTCAGATCTTGCCCATATTCTGGAAAGACAAAAGTATTGAGGATAACCAAGCAGTTTTATTGAAATTGCACAACTTCACCCTTTATTTCAGATTTAAAAACGCAACATTGAAAATGTAATAAAATGTCATGAGAACACCATACAGGACATTAATACAACAGAAATTGCCACCACATCAAAGAACAAATCTATATATTCTTTGCTGAGAGTAGTAAATTCTCTTTTTCTAAACCATTAGAGGGGATAAAAGCTAGATTTGTATGTTAACTTTTAATAAAATCGGGAATGCAACACTATGGTGATTATTAAGCTCCTGCTACCAAATGAAAAATACTTAGTCCATAAGTGGCTGAATAAATTAAAGTTTGCACCAGAGTAAAATTTCACAAGGTTTATTTTCATCTCAAATTAAGAAATGTAATAATCTTTTTCTCAGCAGGTACCACACTTTGCTACTCTCTAGCACATGCAGTAAATTCCTAGTCAATGAATTTTGTGGAAGATGCGTAAGCCCTGTAGAGAATTTCCACAGCTTCCCTCTAATATCCCCACAGCTCAGATAAGTTAGTCTCAATAGCACCATTGAGTCAAAGCCTTCTGCCCTCAGCTAGTTTCCAAGATCGCAGAGTGACAGCTCTTTTCTTTGTCTCTCTAGGGGTTCTAAGCATAGCAATCTTACCATCTCCTTTCTCTGCAGTGTTCAATTCATTCCCAGTTTGGGAAACTAGCACTTGCTGGTTGACTTCTGGGTTAATCGTAGCTCAAACGGAAGCACCCATTTGGTGAAAAACTGTTTTGTGGACTGCTGATACCTTGATCTACAGACTACTAAGAATGTGCACCCTCCTTCACTCTAACTACAGACTGCCCTGTTTCGCAACCAAATTAATTGCTGAAGTGACCTTTCAGTATGAGAAATAACATCTTTTTAGTTCCTCCCTTTAGAACAAAAGAAAAGCTTACAAAAAAAGATACCTGGCCATTCACTCTGGACATAAGACTTGGGGCTGAACTGAAAGCATGGAAGCCTACACACCATGTCCCACCACAGGGTATATCATGGGTACTTTGATGCTGGGTTCAAAACTGATATCCAATCCTCGGGTACATCTTTCAAAAATATAGTGAAATCTTTTAAAAAGTAGAAAAAGAGAGAAACCCATTTGTACGTGTTAATTTACAAAGCTGTGCTGGTTCAATTTTTCAATGCATTTATTCTCATCATGAAATTATAAAAATGTATTTTGAGTCTGCAAGATCCTTCAGGCAAGGAAATACTTGGGTCTCTTATTAAAAAGATGTCCACGCAGTGGTAAATGGTTTGATGTACAATTTATGATTTAGAATCAGATGATTTTGACCCAAGCACATTAAGTAAAAATAATCCATAGACATTGCTGGGAATTGATACTGCAACTGCTTAGATTCCAGTTACTTGAAATGAGTGACAGTTGATGCAGTTAGTGATATGGCTGATGGCAAAATTGTTCCAGAACACAGTGCATAGTATTATTTTACTGTCTTTGAATGGCTTTGTATTTCTGGATTTGCTTCAGAAGGTCAAAAACAATTGCTTAAACTCAGGTAATATCCTGGGGGTAAATTCCAGCTGGCCTTGTCGACTCAGTTCAGGTCAGCCCAAGGTCAAGCAAAAGCCTCAATAACTTACAAAAAGAGCTGTATCTTCATGCTTGTAGTGGATTCTTTCCTTGTATCAAAAGAGTTCCTGTTTCCATCAAACAGCGGAACCCAATAGGAAAACAAATGCTGCTTCACTGTCTTCATGGTGATTTTTCAAAATGAGCTTCCAGATTTTTGTTTCAACTTTTATTTGCCTTGGCGATTTGGCTGTCCTACTAGGCAAGGCACCTGAATACATCTCCTGGTCTCTCTCATTTCTGGACTGTTTACAAGTAATTTAATTGACTTCACACTGGCTAAATAGAGATTTATTTATGAGATCGATCTCCCGAGTTCTCAATATGAATAGATCCATTAGGATTTCTTACATAAGCCTCTCCTGACCCAGTTGACAGTCATATCTGGCAAAGCAACCCTAAAAGTGCTATTGCACAACTTTCTGATGTAGATGTAACGGTGTTACTAAGACAAACAACAAAAAAGTTACATAACGCCTTTCACGTCAGGAGGACATCCCAAGGCACTGGACAATTAGTGTTTGGACCCGAGCTGGGGGTCGGGATCAGGGAGGGTGGAAGGTAGGGGTGGGGTAAGCAGGGTGATCAAGGCATGGTCAAAGAGGAGAGTCGTGAGATGGGTCTTGAAGGAGGCAAGAGATGGGGCAAGGCGAAGCGACTGCGGGATGGAGTACCAGGGGGTGGGGCAGAGTGGCTGAAGGCCCGCCTGCCAGTGGTGGATCGGGTGAAGCAGGAGATGTGAAACAGGCTGGATCCTGTAGGTTGGTAGGTGGTTAGGAGTTCACAAGTTGCAAGGCCATGGAGGGCTTTGAAGGTGAAGACCAGGATCTTGAACTGTATCCTCTGTGAAAAGTATACAAACAATAGAAAGCAAATAAAGGCACAGATTTCCCTGACAACTATCATCTCAACAAATGATATTACAGTCCACTATACAGGCATAATTAATCCCAATAAATGGTTATTTTACGTGACACATAATACTGTTAAAATGTATTAAATTATCTATCAGCATCTATACAATCTATAAGTAATTAAACAATGGCTATTCCATCAATGTGACACAAAAAAATATTTTCCTGTCATCTTCTCCTGTATACTCTCCCTCAGATTCTTCTCTGAACATTGCCTGGTATGTTTCCATCAGGCTTCAATATAATTCCACCATCAATCCAGTCTAAATTACAATCCCTACATTATCATGAATAAAGCTGACACTTTTAGTCTATTACTTCATGCATTTTTCTTTCCCTTCCATGCAAAATTGGAATATTTGAGCCCTGGCTTGACACATCCATTGAGTGCCATACAATGTGGTAGCTCATTACAAGTGTAGCAAGCATGATGGAAGAGTTTTCCCAATAATCCAGTCAGATTTGTCTCCTTTAGTCAGATAAAACATATTGTGAAATTGCATGAGCTAATCTAATGCTATACTCATCAACAAGCTTTAGATATATCTTAAATTTATTTTTGGATCAGAGCTCCCCTTATTTCACTGCTTTTCTCTCGATAACTAGCAGACACAAAAGGCATGATTTTATGTTTTGCCAATGTCACAATAATGCTTAGAGATTTTCTGCAGGTTTTGTCTGCTCTTTGCAGTGTTGACTACACTACAACATATTTTCTTGCAGTCAATGTGTCCTGCCGCTATATGCATGCCCTATGGCATGTTGGAGCACTTAGCACTTGTGTAAATGATGTAGACCATCACATTTTAAGCCACATGTGCTATTTTATATGCCAATTTGTAGACACTAAGCGGTAATTGCCTGTGGCATTGTTAAAACCACTTTTCATGAGGTTAAATGCAGGACCAGCATATAAAATACAGCTGCATCTGTCATCACCAAGACAATTCCAAAATGTCGAAAAGCTTCCCCCCACCAAAAAAAAGCGTAGTTTATTCTTCACAGGTTTATATTTAACAAAAGGATCCTATATGGTTTGGATCAGGAAATACAAGTGGCTTACAAGACAACGTAAAACCCTTGAACCTCACTACTTTATCAGTATATTTAAAACCTCATGATTACGTCATAGCAGATGGAACTGCTAACTTTATCCATATTTTGTTTCATTCCTCTACAAAGACTGCAACAGACAATCTTCATCCAGTTCACAAATTCTTAATTTTTTTAGGAGATATTGCTACCCTCCAAGTAGGAATCTGAGTAACATCACACAGTTATGGTGCTATGTGATGGGTGCTCATAATCATGAAAGCCCTTCTACACATAAGATCTTATATTTTTGAAATACCCGCCTACCCATTACCCTAATGGGTAGTGTGGTCCTAGCTGGATAAGCAGTCAAAAAGCTTGCCAGACAGTGCTATCAATAGAAAGCCTTGCAGTTTTAGCCAATGACCAGCCATATGGATACCCTATCAATCTCTTTTTGT